TTTCACAATTTTGATTAAACTGGCATTACTGTATATGTTTCTTTCTTTAAGTAAAATAACTTCGATAACACAGAATGAGCCACGAAATACAAGTGTTTAACGTATAGATGAAGATGCAAATATTATACAAGATTTTGTCGCATGTTTCATAATTTTATATATCTATCTATCCATACAAAGTAGTGATTAAACAAGTGCTTCCAAAAATAATGAGATACTTCTTCAACACAACGTTGTAATCAACGAAGTGTTTATAAAAAAAATCAGATAATTTTCAACAAGCAAAATGAATTCTTTCTAATATCAAAGCAAATATTTTTTTCCAAAACCAGGCAGTGAATTAAACAGAAAGAATAAATAGACTTCAATAAACAAATAAATGTGTAAAATAAATGAAATCCTGGCAAGTCCAAAAAGTGATCTTGTTTCGTGACTTTCAAAATTAAAAAATGGTGAATCTTGTCAATTTTAAATTATCGCATTCCAAATTTCAAATGATTATCGCATTCCCTATATTAATAAATTCAACTATCTGCATTACCATAACAAATTAATGCTAATTCATATAGCAACGGCAGGCATTATTCAGTATGCTATCAAACAAACAGCGAGAAAAGGGAGGTAACTAAGAGAGTAAACTAAAGGGAGTGTTGTATAGGGGGGAGGGATATACATGTAGTAGCTGATCTATTCATCTATTGACTACATCATAACATCATAACAGTAGATATATACTATATGTTCGACTTTTACCATCTGTTCGTATACCTGTATTTGTTCAAAGGGCACCTCGAATGTAAATGATTCGTTATAGTATGGATTCAGTGTACACTTCTTGATCGTAGTCTTCTTCTTCTTAATTCTCTTGCCATTAAGATTCATAGAAATCTTAACATAAGGATCTAATAAACGAAGAGAGAGTCAGAAAAAAAAAGAAAAAAAAAGGATCAAAAATGGCATAAAATAGCCAAAGCCACACAATGAGAAAGAGACCAAACCCAGGAACATTCAGTGTCTAGTAATAGTTTATCAATTAATAAGAAAAATGGATCAGGGGCCTGTTTCACGAAATTTTAACTAAGATAAAATCTAAGTTTTAGTAATTTGATTGGATAATATTAGATTGATTTTAGTGGTTAGCCAATCAAAATTGAAGTACCGGTATCTACTAAAATTTGGATTTTATCTTTAGTTAAGATGTGGCCCAGTATGTTGGAGGTTAATTCTTTCTTTAGCGGTCTATGTCTAAAAGTTTCAAATTTTCCAATCTTTTCTCAAATAGATACACTATTAGTAAACACCGAAAGCACAGAAAGACCCTTGATGCAGGTAATTAAAAGCAAAAAACAATTCTCCTCATTCAAAATACCTGGATCTGCTCAAAGGGTACTTCATATGTGAAGGATTCATTGAAGTAGGGGTTGAGGGTTCTTTTCTTAATGGTTGTTTTCTTTTTCTTCAGGCGTTTGGAGCCCTGATAGAGGGCTATTTTCACATAGGGATCTGAGGAGGAAAGACATGTGTTTAAATGATATTTTGTTATTAACACAAAAATCACAATGTACTTTACTTCACAAACAAACACCACGCTTGATCTTCATCCCTAAATTTTGACAAGTTTTGTACCATCCATGTTCGGAGAGAGATAAAGAGAGAGAGATGGGGTTTAACGTCCACTCGACACAAACTAGGTCATTTCGGGACTAAGATACGGCTCAATTTTATTTCAATAATTCGCTTGCGCGTAGGGGTCTTTAGCAGTGGGAGGAAACCGGAGGACCCGGAGAAAACATATGAGGTTGGACAGGCAACACTACTCCCGAGAATTGAAGCCACGCCAGTTGACTCAATGACAGACCTTATGATACAGGGCGCACGTGCTAACCATTCGGTCATTCACCCCCCCCTCCCATGTTCTCATTCTATTGTCTTTTAATCATAAGCTGAACATGGGTAGATAATCAACCAATCATTGATTGAGATTATTAATTATACAGATAAAAAGAAAAAAAAAACTGTCAACTTAAATGCAAAATTGACTAATATGGCTTTCATAGCTAAAGGCTTTTTTTTTTTTATTCGATTGTCTATACAATATGGGACAGTAAAATGTTATACTAGACTATAGACAACAAAAAGGAATTCCCTGTCGAAGTACATTTACTTTTTTTGTCACAATGAAACGTTATATAATATTTATATCCAAAGTGATTTGGCTTTCAGACAAAAAACACATATAGTTGAAAAGTTCCATTTCTTTCTCTGTTTCCATTGCTGCAAACAAAGCTCATAATACATTTATCATTCTGACTAAACAATCATGGTTTTTTTCATAAACCATTATTCTATCATAAATGTCTCTAGGGACTTCTAGTTCATTTCTATTAATGATTTTATCAACAGAGCAAATAACATGATAGCTCGGTTAAATAAAAACATTCAATCAAGCTTGTAGCAATTTTATCAATCATGTCATAATCATCTCTTCCTACGATAAAGAAGTAAGTTATCTTTGTTTCATCTTGACTAAATTTGCTCTAATTTGTATCCACACAAATCCATGTACGAATATATGTGTGAAATAGCTTATTTAAAATACAGGTGTGATGTCATCCTTTGATGCTGGCGTACCATTATTTCAAATAGTGGTACGGGCAATATGCGTACATTATTTATACTAGTTGAAATATTGGACCTGCGTGACGTATTTCATTGAAAATTAAATTTAACATCCTGCTGTTTTGCTCCGAACTGGGCTAATGAAGACAGGCATACACTATACAGTGTGCTATGAGGGAAATTTTACCCGGGCAGCAGCACTACAGCCTACTCTTATATCGAATTCCAACTGTCAAGGGATCTTTTACGTGCACGCCAATGTGTACACGGGACCTCGGTTTTTCATCCCATCCGAACGACTAGACAGCTGTCGTATTTCATTGAAATGCACATGCTGGATAGTATCTGTATTTTAATGTGTTTAATGGTCTCGTGCAATATCAATATATTACTTAATGTCTCCCACTCGACCATTAAACTATACTTAACTTCCACCGAAGTGATATCGCAGACAGCTTACGATATACTTGTACATAATTATATATATTCAGGCCCGTAGCCCCCCCCCCCCCCGAAAAAAATTTGACGTCCATAGCTCTAAAATACCTACTGTAGACTGTGCCGGGTGTGCCCCCCCCCCTAAAAACTTCACTGACCCTCCGATATTGCTATCCATATAAATGAATGGGGATTAACATCCTACATTTCTGCTTCATCTGGGTTTATGAAGATGGGCATACACCATGCAATGAGCTGGGAGTGAAATTTTGCCCTGACAGCCGCGTTACGGACTACTCATATTTCGATTTTCTTCTGTCTTGGACTCTTTTCGTTCACAGCAATGTGTACATGTGACATTTTATTTGGTCCTTTCCGAATGACAAGACACTGTTCCTTGCTAGACCCTCTGTCCTGCACCATTGACATAGGATCAAACCCAGGACCCCCAGGTTAGCAAGCAGGGGCTTTACTCAATCTGTTGCACAGAGGATTACGAAAGTCTTCTAATAACTCTGTCAAAGATGACTGCTTTCAACACGTGATATCACATTTTACTCATTTTTCATACCCATTTATACTAAATAGGACATATTTTTTGCTTACATATACTTCAAACACCTTTATTTATTTGTCTAGAATTTAATTTGCAGAAGGAAAAAAAATTAATACTGCGAGCTCATTAAGCCACACTGATATCATCCCTATCAGTGATTGTAGCTGCCTAGTGAATATTCACTGCTGATCTGTGGGAACCTTATTCAATGAGCAACTGCAGCTCCCATATAATAAGATAAGTTAAGTAACCCGAGTATTAAATTATTACCTGAGAGACCACCAACATCCATTTTCTTGAGATTTTTGGCTTCCAAGATAACAACAGTGAGTTTACCAGCGGTAGGTACATAACGTAGAGAGAAACAGATATCTCCTAGTTTGTTTTCCTAGTAAAATATAATATCCATTAATATACAATAAAATTTATCTCAATTTGTAGCAGCAAGAGAGAGAGAGAGAAATGGGGTTTAACGTCCACTCGACACAAACTAGGTCATTTCGGGACTAACATATGGTTTAATTTTATTTACATAATTTGCTTGCGCGTAGAGGTCTTTAGCAGTGGGAGGAAACCGGAGGACCCGGAGAAAACCCACGAGGTTGGACAGGCGACCCTACTCCTTGCCACGTACAACCGGGGATTCGAAACCACGCCAGTCGACTCAATGACAGACTTTATGATACAGCGCGCGCACGCTAACCATTCAGCCATCCAACCCCCCCTAGCAGCAAGAGATTCATTAAGGCAAATTTTGTAACAGAAACTAATTATATATATAATGTGTTACGGTATCTTGAGAAAGAGAGACAAATGGGGTTTAACGTCCATGACACAAACTAGGTCATTTTGGGACTAACATATGGTTCAATTTTATTTCAACAATTTGCTTGTGCGTAGGGGTCTTTAGCAGTGGGAGGAAACCGGAAGACCCGGAGAAAACCTTAGTCCTTGTCCAGTACAATCAGGGAATCAAAATCAAGCCAGTAAACTCAATGACAGACCTTATGATGCAGGGGACGCGCTAACCATTCGGCCATCCAAACCCCTACAGTATCTTAAACTCGGGATACCTTTCACATATTTATATGCTTAAATGAACATATATATATATGGGAATATGGACAAATCAGACAAGACCCATCTACGGGTGTCGGAATAGCGAGCCAAAATGGGGTTCCTAGGACAATTTTTAACTTAATGAACACATGTTTGTAAAGGGCCTGTCAACCTACCAGGTTGTTGGAACCAGTTTGACTATTATACTAGTTGTTACCTACATAATAATAACAGTTTAATATAAAGTTGACAAAGAGGTTTTAACAGTAACAACATCTTTTCAAAAATATTAAGATTATCTGTGTGGGGTTAAAAAAAAGATTAATACAAGTTACAAGTACCTTTTCGGCCTCATTATCAGGGCTGGTTAGATCCTGCCATTCCTCTGTAACACGACCAAGATCAATGCTGTTTAATGGAATCTTCACCTGACCGATCTGATCATGTTTAGAGAATCTGTCAAAATCATACACAGCAAATACTAGTGTCTTGGCACCAATCTCTGCATAAGGGACCTACAATTAGTAGAAAATGAAATGAAATGGGATTTAACATCCTACTGTTCTGCTACAAACTGGGCTAATGAAGATGGACATACGCCATATAGTGTGCTATGAGGGAAATTTTGCCCGGACAGCAGCACTACGGCCTACTCTTATATCGAATTCCAACTGTCAAGGGATGTTTTATGTGTATGCCAATGTGTAGATGGGATCTCGGTTTAAAATACAGATCTTTATTTCGTTTTGTTTTTTTAATACTTTCAATGGCCTACACTACATGAAGATCTGACTGATTGTAGTGGAAGGTAGCCTTTGACCCTATGAGCAGCCTTTGACCCTATGACGTCAGAGATTGATTCCCTGCACCGCATGATAAAAAATCTCCGTAACAGACCGTTTTATTGGCTAATCCCTCACATCATCCAGAACATGGGTTATATAACAACTTTTCCAGATCCTAGTGTAGTACAGACAAGTAAAAACGAAACGAAATAGGATCTGTGTTTTAAACAGATTGATAATAATGTGAGTTTTGCATTCTGTACAACAAAATTAGAAATCTATGAGTGGCAAGTAGCCTTCCCAGATGTCCCTCATGAAGCGACTAGTTTCGTTCAGACTTAAATGAAATGAAATTATGCGGATATATTCCCTTATAGTCATCGGGGAACAGAGCACAAAAAAGGTTCCGAAGTTATTTTCCTGGGTGGAATGTTTGCAAGAACAGGCCATATTGATCCCTTGGCTTCCATTTAAGCGATGAAAATCTGATTCGCTAAATTTAATTTATGGACAAATATAGAAAAGATAATATAAATTATAAACATAGATCTGAATATGTATAAGTTTTCAATTTGTATTTTTTGAATAACTATAATGGGGCTATTGAACTCTGCATATGACAAAAAAAAAAGAATTCACGGTCAGATTATTGTAACGGTATAGCTTTCAAAGATGAGCTCTCTAAAGAAAAGCAACTTGAAATCATTACCTTGAATGTGAAGGTTTCATTGAAGACTGGATTGAGAGTTTTTCTGTGAACCTTAGTTTCATACTTTTTCTTTTTGTCAGGTAGAAGGTAGACCTTGACATAAGGATCTGAGGTACCACTCATATCCATACCAGGTAGATCAGCTGCCTGTATTACACCTACTGATAACTGAAAATATAATCATTCAAATCATTAAACATACATTATGGAAGATTATTTTCACTAAAATCGATTATCCATTTTTGCATTTAATCATCAATGGACATTGAACAGCAGATCGGATTCAAATCCAAAGAAAATCGGACACATAAGATGGCAGCGAGAGTTGATTGTGGTCATGTCATGTTAATAAACGTCTAATTAATAGTTTATATAACATTTAAGGCCTAAAGAAAAACCTGCAATAGGCAGAATAAACTCTTGCATAATGTATGTTTAATTTAAGGTTAATTAAATGAAGATAAATACACACATGATATGATAGGCAGTGGAAAGACGGTCAAGAAAGCTCCAACGACTGGAGATTGTTAAAAAAATACCGTAGAAATAGAGTTTCTCTCGTATCTTATCAATAATTAAACACTTCATTGTACTTACTGGTATTTCAAAATACTAAGGAATTTTATAGATAGAGAAAAATGGGGTTTAAAGTCAACTCAACAAGAACTAGGTCATTTTGTGACTAACATATGGTTCAATTTTATTTCAATAATTCGCTTGCGCGTAGTGGTCTTTAGCAGTGGGAGGAAACCGGGGAGGTTGGACTCACGTACAACCGGGGAATCGAAACCATGCCAGTTGACTCAATGACAGACTGTATGATACAGTGCGCACGTGCTAACCATTCGACCATCCAACCCCCAATTTTGTAGATAGTATTTTGAAATACCAGTACGTACAGTGAAAGGTTTAATTTGTGATAAGAGATGAGAGAAACTCTATTTCTATCCAATTTTTGTTTCCAAGTCATTTTGTTTACTAATTTTAGTCTAAATTAAACATTGACTACTAAACATACAATTAGTTATTATCTGACTTATATAATTTAAAGTTTCCAAAGGGAGTCGATAATAATCTCACAAAACCAATCAACACACAAATTTAATAAAAATTAACAATTCTACTTTTAACCTAAATTTAAGAATCGTGTGTCACTTTGAGTGGAAGTCAGTTTATTTACTAGGGTGATATTAGTTTCATTTTTGGCTAAAACTGTCAAATGTTGAACACAAAATAAGTGTGGATCTTCAATAAAACAGATACCCTTATTTGAGGGAATAAATTATCCTGTCAAATTTAATCAAAGTGAAATCTTTATTTTTGATCTAAATCAAATATATATGTCATATTCTCTTAAAAACGTAACAAAAATAAATTTTATATATTTATAAATTCTAATTGAATATATTTAAGTATTCTAGATGGTTAAAAAGATCACATTTGTGAACAAGGATGATAATACCTATATTGCTGAAATTTATTTTTTATTGCTATATCAGATAAAACCTTTTTAAATTCTATTTTAAAATTTAGCAACAGTATATCAAAACCTGCATTTAATAAAATTTATTTCTTATAGCTACATGTATATCAGACATAACTTTTCTAAAATTCTATTTTCAAATCAGTAATTTCATATTAAAACATGTATAAATACATTTATTATGTATAAATTACAATAAACTGAACAATAACATGTATGTGTAACAGCTTTAGTTAATATTTATGAATAGTATTTTACTGATACTGTATGCTATAAAGGCAGTTATAGTTATTTATAAAGTAACATATTCTACTCTACATTCAATCATTTTAAATTATATTAAATTATATTGCTGATACGATGTTAATATATTATAATTTACCACATCATAAGCTGTTAAACTAGGACAAAAATAGTTAAAACTTAGAGAATTAAAGGTCACCGGAAAAGCATCAATTTTTTTAAAAATAATGCAAGTAAGTATGTCCACATATCCTTTCCATAAGTATAACCCAAACCCGAATGTCAATATTACCTGCAACAGGTAAATTTCAACATTAGTAATTTTCGCCGTTCTCCGTGGGTAGTCGTAACTTTCCGTCAATAAGCAATTCGTGACGTCATTTTAGTCCTTCTGCACATAGAAATATAGACTAGAATATGAGCAGAAGGACTAAAATGACGTCACAGATTGTTTATTTACGGAAAGTTATGACTACCCACAGAGAATGGCGGAAATTACTAATGTTGAAATTTACCTGTTGCAGGTAATATTGACATTCGGGTTTGTGTTATACTTATGGAAGGGATATGTTGACATAATTACTTACATTATTTAAAAAATTTATGAACCTTTTCCAGTCGTATATCCCTAAAACAAATGTGGTGTGAATAAAATCATGATGTAATGAAACAAAATGAAATGGGGTTTAACATCCTACTGTTCTGCTCCGAACTGGGCTAATGAAGATGGGCATACGCCATACAGTGTGCTATGAGGGAAATATTGTCCGGAGAGCTTCACTAAGGCCTACTCTTATATCGAATTCCAACCGTCAAGGGAACTTACGTGCATGGCGATGTGTAATTGGGACCTCAATTTTCCATCCCATCCGAACGACTAGATAGCTGTCCTCGTCAGGCCCTCCGTCCTGCATCACTGACAAGGGGTAACCACACCGGATTATCTGGATGTACTTTCTCGTCCAATGCAGGGATCAAACACCTGACCTCCAGACTAACGAGCCAGCATCTTACCCAGTTAGCCACCGTGACCCCCCCATGTAATGAAACACATTCAACTTATTTCAGCTATGTTGATTGGTCAAGATCGTATTATATTCAGTTGGTGCTAACCTTGTCACACGAAATTGTCATATTTATGCGATTGTTGGATTAAGAGAATCTGAATATCTCCCCGAGTCTTGTAACTAGTTTCTAAATGCAAGTTTTTAATTGCTGCTTTGAATTTCTAAGTTAGATTATCAGATAAAACATCAAAAGTTCATTATCATGTTTATACTGTATAATATACTTTTCTTTTGGATTCTAATTCTTCAAAAGAATCTTTGCTACACCTAGTCTTTTGTTATGGTCATTCTTTATCTTTCTTAAACGTCTCTTTATAAATTGTTAGATAACCTTAAAGGGACTATACCGATTTGAACAAAGTCTAAAAATAAAGTCCGTGTAAATATGAAATTTAAGCGCCAAAATATAGAGGAATGGTGTATTTACCTTGTCTCCAAATTTCAGCTCAAAATATTTCAGCTTATCACGTAACCCTTTTAAGACTTCGGGTCAATTTTCGTTGGGTTACCTGATAATCGATTGCCGTTCTTTTAGAGGTCTATACAGTGCATGACCCACGTGCTGTATTTGATAACGAAAGGTAAATTTCACCTACACCTTATTTTTATAAAATAAAGATCTGGTTTTATCCAGACACAGTATAATACAGCTTGGGGCACCAGTCTCCATTTCCAGATGAAGACTGACGGGTTTAAGTTGTTTAAAAACGTATCACGTATATTAAGTTAGTTGCTCGGCCCTAAAGAGGATTTTAAGAGCTTTTAACACAAAATTAAACAGTTTTTTCTTCAAAATATAATCGAGATTTGCTCTTTAAGTAACAAGTATCTAACACTTTTTATATCATCAAGATTACAAAATAACATTACTTATCAAAATTAGATCACTAATGGGTGTGTCTTCAAGTTTATATTTAAAATTAAATATTTATTTAATGGATGTATATGAGGCACATGGTTTATATCTTTAAACTATGAATAAAGTGTAGACTTGCTTCAATAATTTCATCAAATAATTATTATCTTTATCAAAATAAAACATCTATTTCAACTTTATTTGATTATCGGAGTTCAATCTTAATCAGACAATATATAGAGACATTACTAACATATTCTTAACATTTATTGTAGTGTTTCATTTCCAATCTACGTCATATTCACGTCTTGAATAACTTTTTCAGTTATAAAATATTAACATAAAGACGGATCTCTATTTCATATCACATACAAAATTACTTGTCAATTTCTCCAGTATTTCATTTACAATCTACTTCGTACGTCATAATCATGACATCAATAAGTTCTTTAGTTATTAAATAATAACATAAAACTTCAAAGACAGATTTCTACTTTCTATCACACACACACCAAATTATCATTTGTGCCTGATGACGATAAGGGGAAACCATGCCGGAAAATCTGGATGAACTTTCTCGGCCAATGCAGGGATCGAACACCCGACCTCCAGGCTAGCGAGCCAGCGTCTTACCCACTTAGCCACGTAATCCCCCCAGAGGCATTTAGAAACTGGATACAGCATAAACTATAACACATAGAGCCTGTTCAGACGCTTAAGTTGAACTGGTTTAAAAACACCAGAGATCGTTAAACCAGTTTAACTTTGTTGTCTGAACGCAAATTTGGGGCAAATAAACCAGTTTAAAAGACCCAGCTCGCAACCTGTCTTCGAGAAGGCTTTTTATTTTAAACTGGTTCATCTTGGCCATTTGAACGGGTTGGCTTAAAAACCCTGGCTCCAGCTCGCAGTAAACGGTAAGTTACCTTTCTGGGAAAAAGGCGGTGTCATGCAGTGCCAGTGTTATCGAATAAAGAATATGAAGCTACCTATGCGTAGTTAACTTTAACCTCTGACCAAAAACGTCAAAATAGTTAAACTGGTTTGGCCTACATTACGTGTGAACGCAACACAACACTGTCTTAACATTCCCTGCGATTTTGAACTGGTTTAATGATAAGTGTCTTAACGGTATAATAGTTAAGGAAGAACAATTACTGATTTATTAAATCCTAAGTATGTATTATGTGTTACAATTTATAAGAGAACACTTATCAAAACGTTGTTCTATATGTGTATAAACCAGTGATTATTTCCATATAAATTGTGTTGTGTTTTAACAAAATTACAAGTCAATTTCTGGAAATCATCTCTTTTTTAGCACATCATCACACAGATCTTATAGGGCTTCACAGATTCTCCACTAATTTGTTTATTCAACAAATGATAGATTAGATATAATCACAGTAGGGTTTCAGACATTACCGGTAATTAACATTCTAAATAAAGAAATAAAATGAAATGGGGCTTGAAGTCCTACTGTTCTGCTCCGACTGGGCTAATGGAGACAGTACATGTATGTTATGAGGGAAATTTTGCCTGGACAGTGGCGCTACAGCCTATTCTTATATCAAATTCCAACTGCCAAGGGATCTTTTACGTCCCATCTGAACGACTAGACAGCTGTCCATGTCAGGTCCTCAGTAATGCAGAAATGACAAGGGGAAACCACGTCGGAAAATCCCAATGAACTTTCTCTGCCAACACCGGGAATGAACCCACAACCTCCAGGCTAGCGAGCCTGCATCTTACTCACTTAGCCACTGTGGCTCCTATAAATAAGAGTCTGTATATAAATAACTATGAATAAAAGTACTCATTAAAGATACATTATGTAAGAGCTAAATCTGTGTATTGCATGTCTTTGTTCTGGCTTCATATCTTATATAAATTATTGATTAGACATTTATTCACCACACGCAAAGCTCATATTCAACATTGCAGACCGTCGTCTAATTCTGTACTATATAATTGGGTTAAGTTAAAATGGACCTCAAGGCTATTTATTATTGTAGCAATGGTACTTGAAAATCGAGACTATTTAGGCTAAATCTTTTTAAAACTTCTAACATTCATAACTTTCCTCAGAATAAAGTAATTTGACTGAAGTTTTCAATATATTCATTTTCTGTTATCTATAATAGTAAGAACGACTACCTCTTTAGGTAAATCTTACATAATACATCTTTAAGTGTTATAATGTTTTTAACACACAACACAAATTATATTTATTCCAAAATTATTTCATAATATTCATCAAATATTATATTTTAAAGCCAATTCTTAATATTGTCAAGACTTTCTTTTTCATCGTCCCAACTTTAGTAATGATGATCGGGGCTATGCCTAAAATACGCTCGCTAATATGTAATTTTGACTTGTTACATGCTATCTATTATTTTGGGTTGTCAGAAAATATTTCATGTTTATATTTGAATATTACATATTATTTTTAAATTTTTCCTTCCGTTTCAAAAATCTGTAATTATATCATATCGACTTAAAAAGATCCAACACAAATAATATGTTAGTAACAGAAGATTTTTTGTGTGACATGCATACCTCAGCTTTCTGGAAGTCATAATCAAGTGAAAATTGTAATTTTCCAAGTTTAACTTCAGATTTCGTACTTTCAGCATCTTCGTTATCTTCCATATTAACTTGGAGTTCATCTAAATCAGGCTGCACCTAAAAATATATTAAGTTTAAGTTATGAAACAATGCAATTAAAAGTTATAATTAATATAAAGTCTTATGCAATTCAAAAAATGTATATAGAGTTTTTTTATTTCATAAAGAAATATATATAAAGCTTGATACGGCTAAATATTGGTAATTATTATAACTGTAAACAGTAGAGTTTGGCCCAGTTACTGGAGATCGCAGGTGTATTTGAATCACGTATGGTATGGCACATGTTCCACAAGGCGTTAAACCATGCACTTTTATTTTTTCCTGAAACGCCTCTGCCAAACTCACCCTGCGCCTTATCTACGCATGCGCCTAATACACCGAAAAATATGGTATAAATTATTCAAATCTACTATTTCTAAACGTTTTCTATTGATATGACATGTATATTTATGTCTTATCTTCAAAATAATTGACAAAACTCTGAATCAAAGTACCTGTAATGTACCTCTTCAATCTCATCAATTTGTTGTTTTTAACATTTCTAAACTACGATAATATGAAACTACTCTTGTTAAATGATAGCATCATAAATTCATATTGTGGAATGCACAATATTCTCAAAAAATATTAAAATCGATGAACCCTAACTTAATTCATGACCATCAAAAGTTTCCACTTATTTCTACTAATTTTATAACGTTATATTTTTCTGTCTTAGAATCAGAGGTATGTGGGGGGAGGGGCCAGAGGTATGCAGGGTGGTGTGAGGGGCATCCATTTCAGGGAGGAGAGGATCCAATCAAAAATTAAATTACATTTTTGTAAATTTGAACTTATCATAGTTAACCTTGTTGTACAAGCTATCCTACTAAATTCAGTGATTCATGAAAGGTGACTAGGAAGTGTTTTTTTGGCAGATATATTTACCTTTTCTTTGTAAGCATTTCCAAGTAATTGGACACTTTTGAGATCAACAGCTCCTTTTAAACCTTTCTTTCCTTCTTTCTTTTTTCTCTTGCGACAACATCTCTTACACATACAGTAAGTACAACATACAAGTATAAGTAACGCACCAGCACATATTAATATTATAGCCCAAATAGGTACTGAAAGAGAAAAAAAAAACATTGTTTATTAATTGTACATTTATTTTTAATTAATTCAACTAGATCAGACTGAAATAAAATGGGGTTTACCGTTTAACGTCCTACTTTTCTGCGCTGATTTTGGTAACCAAGAAAAGCATATTAGACTCAACAGAGAAATTAAAAGAAATGGGGTTTAATGTCCTACTGTTCTGCTCTGTCTAGGCTAATAATGACGGGCATACACCATACAGTGTGCTATGAGGGAAATTTTGCCTGGGTAGCAGCACTATGGCCTATTCTTATACTGAATTCAAAATGCCAAGAGATCTTTTACGTGCATGCCAATGTATGCACATGCACGGCATGTCCCATCCGAACAACTAGACAGCTGTCCTTGTCAGGCCCTCCGTCCTGCATCACTGACAAATTCCGATGAACTTTCTCAGCCAATGCAGGAATCGAACACGGGACCTCCAGACTAGCAAGCCAGCGTCTTACCCACTTAGCCACCATGGCTGCCTAAACAGAGACAATAAACACACCAGTGAAATGTAAGTCTGGTGTTATTTTGAATATTATATAACAATAACATTTTAAGGACATTTACTTATATACACACAAAGTTTGTGATATTTATTCTTATTTGATATTTACCAAGATATTTGTTTACATTAAATATATAGATATATATTTTGATTATTTGTTTCTAGTTTGTCTCGAGTAACACTGCCATATGTTTAGTACAATATAGCCTGGTTGGGGAGAGAGAGAGAGAGAGAGAGAGAGAGAGAGAAATGGGGTTTAACGTCCACTCGACACAAACTAGGTCATTTCGGGACTAACATATGGTTTAATTTTATTTCAATAATTCGCTTGCGCATAGGGGTCTTTAGCAGTGTAGTCCATGTGACAGGCAGATATTCATTACCAATTTGATGAATTGGTTTAACTATGATTTTCAGTTAGCCTTAGGTCTAAAGTGTCCAAAATTGGTTGATGGACTTCCGGGTCACTTTGCCAAATGTCAGTTTGGCGGCCATCTTTAAAAATGGCCGCCGTTTTTTTTTATTTGAAATAGTGCGAGTCGGGGAAGCCTTCATAACTCCTCAACAGTTTCACCTATGGATATGTAATATAGCTCAAAATGTTCATAATATAATTCTACATCTGCTGGTATATGATATACGTTGTTTAATCAATACTATCAGTTTTAAAATAAAAGATTAATCTGAAAAAAGCAACATTTTCGATTTATTTTCATGTCTGTTCGTAAGTTTACCGGTACTAACAAATCGTGTTCAGACCCATATAAGCCAAATTATCTGTTTGGTCAACTAAAGTGATTTAATACATATCAGAAACGTTGATCATAAAAAATAATCTCTAATATGAGTGTCCCAAATCCAAGATGGCGGAAATTCAAAATGGCGACAAAATTTCCTAAAATGGCCAATATGTCAGATAATAGTCATTTCATTGTTTGATATGACATGTACTATCCAATTGAAAGGGCGCTCAGTGTTGCTGAGCTTACAATTAAAGACACGTTACGTACGATTTAGATAGAGAGCTAGCCATTCTTGCTAATGTAAAATGAATAATTTGACAATTTCATTCAAATTACTCTATTGCGAGCGAAGATATTAGCCTTTGAAGGTTTGACAAGACACGTGCAATAATTTCAACCACTGTACTGGTTGTTCGAAGCTAAGTCTCGCTCCTCCATTTTTAGATTAAATCAAAATATGGCTGAACCGTTCTAATCTATTTAATATCGGAGAAATCCGATGCCATCGAGAGTTGATTATGGCCTGGACCAGTTAATTAATGTCTAAATAATAATTTAGAAAACATTTCAGGCCTAAAGAAAGACCTGAATAGGCAGATTTAGCTCTTGCATAATGAAAAGTTTTAAAAATCCAAGATGGGGAAAATTCAAAATGGCGGCCAGAATTTCCATAACATGAATGACTGTTTTATATAGCTTATAATATCTCTTTTATAAGGTTTTCAGAGTCACTGAACTTGAATAAAAACTCAAAAATTAATGCTGAAAATGATGTTAATGATACTGCTAAAAATGACACATTATATCCGATCCCCGCCCCCCCCACACACCCCATAAACAATACAATGGGGCATATGGAATTGATTATTCTGGATCTCACAGATCACAATACATTTCACCAAAATAGTGAGGCATTTTAATTTCATCTACTATGCCTTTGCACCATTTTTAGCCGTATTGAGAATTACTTATGATATATCGAGTTGTTAAGAATTTAAGATCTCTTATTCGTTCAGAAATGTTAATGTGGTCCGTTTTTACATTAACGCCTCTATGCCCGGCAACTTTTGTCGTATAGTCTAGTAGCCATGTCTAGCTTGCTTAGAAACACAGTTCCGCTACAAGGTGCTCCCTATTAAACAAACTATACATATTTGGAAAGCTTATAACACCAGGAACACAAATCCAAGTAAAATGTTTTAAGGCCAGATGGAAATTATGATAATTGTCAAGTAAATGTTATATTTATACTGACAATTGTGAAGTTGACATAAAATTACACATATAATACCTAGGATAGGACAGGCTTATCTTTGCTCCGTGAGGTGAACGACAAGGTTCTCTACAACCAGACTCGAAATTTCTTTTGAAAAAACTTGACTGTAATTTAAATGGTACTTTCTATAGTATATCCTGGTGATTTTAGCTTATGCGTATATCTTTAATAATTCATCAAAAACGACATAAATTCATGACTACGCAAGAACATTGACTAGTTTAGGGACCCCCGAAACTACCATACTCCTTTTGAGTGTCCATCCCTGAAAAGGGAGGCAAAAGATATGATGTTAAAATGATAATTCGTATATCATTTTACAGTTATATAAAAAAAAATGTTTCCTTTTTATCCAATGAACAATTTATTGTTAGTTCATGTAGAAAGATATGGTGCTTATAAACGTGTTGCTAATGTCCGTATTACATGGTAGACTTCAACGTATCATATAAACAATTGGTATTTATTTTACAAGTATAAAAAATGTTTCTGTTTTATCGAATGAACAATTTATTGTTAATTCGCGTGGAAAGATATGATGTTAAACATGTTACAAATTAACAACTGGTATATGAGTATTTTACAGCTAAAAGAATGTTTACGTTTAATCGAAAATTCCAATAAACAATTTATTTTTAAGTTGAAAGGAGTGTCCTACGGGTGGTAGGCCATATTAAATGCTGCTTGAATGTGTATTTTCATAAACTTTGTATGCAGATAGATTATTATACTGAAGGTTCGTCTGGATAGAAAATAAGATTTTGTGTGAAACAGGTGTCCTGGAAAAAATGGGTTCACTAACATCAAATATCTGGTTCTACAAATTGTATTTGTACCTTCTAAGCTAATACCCACCCATCCTAACTAGAAATTCGTTTTTCGTTAAATTATGTCGGCCATTTTGGAAATCGGACAGAACCCCAAGCGAAAATGACGTCACAGAAGTGACATAATCTCAAAATTGTCTTTTGACACAGAAACAACCCGTCCCCAAATATCGTTTCGATTGTGACACACTAGCTAAAGTTCACTATAAGTTTGTGCCCTGCCTCGCCAACGTTCAACATTTTAAATTTGACAGTCTACTTAAGACTTTTGTTGAGTTTGCGGCCACCGCAGCTGTATAACTTAAGAAGACCACACACATAATTTGGCTAAAATTACTCTGAACATGATTTGGTAGTAACCTTATAAAATGAATCATGAAAACCTGGAGAAAAAAATGCCAAAAGGTTGCTTTTTCCAGAATAATCTGTTGATTTGGAAAATATATGATTCATTCAACAACAAGTATCATATAGCACCTGAAGTAGCATTTTCTTGTGAACATTGTGAACCACATTCCATATCCATAGGTCGATCTTTTCAGAAGTTATGAAGGTTTCCCCGATGCGCTCAATTTCAATGAAATAGCGGCGGCCATTTTTAAAGATGGTCGCCAAAATGCAATTTAGCAAAGTAACCCGGAAGTCCATCAACCAAATTTCAACACTGCAGCCACCAGGCTAACTGAAAATCATGGTTGAATGTATTCATCAAATTGGTAATGATGTTCCAAAATCCCAGGTCTGTCACATGGACTAGTGGGAGGAAACCGGAGGACCCGGAGAAAACCCACGAGGTTGGACAGGCGACCCTACTCCTTGTCACGTACAACCGGGGATTCGAAACCACGCCAGTCAACTCAATGACAGACTTTATGATACAGCGCGTGCACGCTAACCATTCAGCCATCCACCCCCCCTAGCCTGGTTGGAGCTGACGTGCCATTAAACAATATTTCATTCATTCATTTTATTTTGTGAAAGTGGTAATGCTTCATTAAGCTAGATGTAATAATATCTATAGTACATGCATGCATGATAGTTCTTCCTACGCAAAACCCATAAACTTAATGAAATTTATCAAGTGAAATCGATGTTTATCAGTCAATAATTTTCAGCTGTCCCCACAACCAACTATTATTGTAAGTTCCTGACTCTTTGGAAACCTGAACAGCTGCAATTATGACAATAAAAAAAAAGAATATTTACTGCACATAATATATTGATTCAAAAAGATTACAGAAATTTATACCACTATAAACTTCAAAAATCCAACACTTAATCCTTGCATAACCCATACTAATATTTGTGACTGTCGTTCGTTCGTCTGTATGTATATGTCACATACATAAATCAAAATACGACATTCTCGATAACAAATTACAAAGAATTATTTTTGTTGGAGTCTGGTTATATTAAAGGGAATGGAAGCTTATAATTAACCTATTTCTTACCGGGAACTCATTTGACCCAATTCTGGCCCGTTAGTTTCAAAATGGAATAAGAACCCTGGTTGGCTGCTACACTTGGGCTGTCCAGAGACTGAAATTTGGTGTATAGGGGTAGCTCGAACTGAGGAGTTAAATAGGCCTGGGGGCGATGTACTACCACTTCTGGTTTCGGAGCCACGCTACTTCTGGTTCAGGGTTATACCCGTGCTATGCCGGGTCAACCGCTAGTATATCATAAGAAAACTTACATTTTTCAAATTGTTCCATAAATTTGTCTTTTAATTTGTCGAAGTTAGTCTGTTGAGGAGCGCTTGCAGTGCTATCATCACCTGATGTGGTAACACCGCTATCAGCGCCATCTGCTGGTGCTTGGGTCACTGTCTCAGCTACATTTTTTGCAACTTGCTCAGCTGCCCTCTGCACACGGTGCAGGTTCTCCATCGTTAAAATCCGCATCTTGATGTTTTAAGGCCCTGGGACCTACAAATATAGAAAAAATATTTTTATACAAAATGTACAAGTAATTTTTCAAGGCTATAAAATAAATGAAACAAGTCTATGAAATAAATGAAATAAAATGAAATGGGTTTAACGTCCTACTGTTCTGCCCCGACCGGGTTAATGAACAGAATGAATGAATGAATGCCACTGGGTTTAATGTCCTATTTATTTTTTATGGTACAGTACACTTCAAGCGGAAGTACTAAATTTCCCCGAGGTCCGACCTGGGCGGAAATGAAAAATCCCGGACGTCAGTTAATCAATCCGCTCTGGCCACGCTCAAAATTCCGCTCTAAAATTCCTCCACGAATTTAAATAAACCGCCGACCTCCGCGATTATTTTAATCTGCCGCCCACCGCGAAATTTTAAAAAGTCGGACTTTCCACGCATGTACAGTCGGCACATCCATAGCTGGTTTGAAATGGGTTTATTTACATGTGTAACTGGGCTAATGAAAAAGAACATACAGTATATGCGGTGTGCTATGAGGGAAATTTTGCCTGGATATCAACTGGATTCCATTTGTCATATGAGTTCTTTTACGTACACATCTTGATTTTTTGTCCCATCCGAATGACTAGACGCTGTTCCTCACAAAATAATGAACAAAAAGTATCGTACAATAACTGTGTTACTAGGTGGCAAAAACATGGCCACAAGCAGTTTGTGACAATTTGGGTAACTATCAAGCTTCATCTGTCACTGACATCAAACCGCACCCAACAGGTAGAGGTGTTTTAGGCTTCAAGAACATTTTGCAATAAATTGGTCCAGCAGGCCTCTTGAGTTTTAGCAAGATCAGTTAACAAAATACAAAATACAGATGTGACATCATCCTTTGATGTTGGCCTACCATTATTTCAAATAATGGTACGGGCAATGTGGCTTGCGTACATTATTTATATTAGTTGAAATATTGGACCTGTGTGACTTATTTCATTGAAATGAACATGCTGGATAGTGTCTGTATTTTAAGTTGTTTAATGGTCTCGAGATAAAGACATTGTGTAATATATAGATATACCCCTTATGCTAACGCACTCGTACAATATCAATATATTAATCAATGTTTCGCATTCGACCATTAAACTTCACATATTAATATTAGCCTAACTCAAGCAAATAATAATATTGGAGAATCAATATATTTTTCTCCTTTTAATAAGTTATAAATCTTGGAAAGCTCAGACTGGGAATATTTCATTTAAAGGGCCAATCCCGATAATATTTTGGAGAATAAAATTCCCTTAATATCCTCTACAATAGGGCCGAGCAACTAACTCAATATATGTGATACGTTTTCAAACAACTTAAACCCGTTAGTCTTCATCTGGAAATGGAAACCGGTGTCCCAAGCTGTATTATGCAGTGTTTGGATAAAACCAGACTTTTATTTTATAAAAAATAATGTGTATAGGTGAAATTTACTTTTCGTAATCAAGTAAAGCACATGGGTCATTCACTATATAGACCTCAAGGAACAGGAATCGATTATCAGGTCACCCAAGGAAAAAACTGACCCAAAATTTTAAACGGGTTACGTGTACGGATAAACTGTTTTGACATTCACGTCCAAACGAATCAATATTTTGAGCTAACATTTTGAGACAGGATAAAAATACCATTCCTCTATATTTTGGCGCTTAAATTTCATACGTAGTCGGACTTTTATTTTTGAGATGCTGTTCAAATCGGGATTGTCCCTTTAAAATCCAGAATATTAACTTTATGGCAACATAAATTGAAACTAAATACAAAAGTTATGTCGATATTATTTTTAATCGTTTAAATGACATAGACTGTAAGCTAACACAACATCTTCGTCAATAAATCATTACCACAATAAATTTATTGTATTGAAACTTATTTAGAATCTATTTTTATATGCTCTGATGTCATCAATAATCGTGTATTGTGTAAAACTGTTCATGGAGAGAAATCAGTATCAGAAGTAGACTTGTTCAATAAGTATAATTATGTCTTAATAATATAGAATTCTATTAACTAGATATTTATTGATTTAATTATGTAAATGTGTAATATAAAAAAGATGTCCTACACTTAATTAACTTTATTCTGTATTTTTATAACAATAATAGTTTTACAGCATGCATGATTTAATAAGAAGGTCTAATGCAGATGTGTTGTGAAAAGAACCAGATAAGGAAACTTTCATTCTAATTTTTCAAATCCTAACCATAATGATACAATACAGCTACAGCTTATTTCTTATTTTATCAAGATTTATCAAGATTTATTAAGATTTATCAAGATTTAAATTAAGGAGACATAAAAATCCATAATTGTATTTTTCCTATATACTGTTATTCATATATTTACGAAGCCCCAACATGGGAATGAAAAATAAATAACAGCAAAGAAAATAACAAAACAAGACAAGGGACTTAAAATATCAAGTTACTTTTTAAACTTCCTGGTGAACCATTAATGAAATGAAATGGGTTTATAATGTCTTAATGTTCTGCTCCATCTGGTCTAATGAAGACGGGCATATACCATACAGTGTGCTATAAGGGAAATTTTGCCCGGGCAGCGGCACTATAGCCTACTCTTATATCGCATTCCAACAGCCAAGGGATTTTTTACATGCATGCCAATGTATACACAGGACCTTGGTTTTGCTTCCTATCCGAATGAGTAGACAGCTGTCCTTGTCAGGCCCCCTGTCCTGCACCACTGACAAGGTGGAAACTACATCGGAAAATCCTGATGAACTTTCTTGGCCAATGCAGGGATCGAACACGCGACCTCCAGTCTAAGTGAGCCAGTATCTAAAAATGTCCGTAACATTGAATATAACCCAATTTAATGGAAATCAACAAATAAATGGAAGCTATTATTATTCTATCAATCCTAAGCAAGTGATGAGGTTGAGAATATATAACATTCAGTAACAATTGAACACTTGACACCAAAACTGGGGTTATAGCAATAGTTGACTATTTTAGCAGAGTAAAAATTACAAATTGATTTTATTTGAAATCAATTGGTTTATATTTAATTACAGAATCATACAAACACTCGATACTAAAGGATTTAGTATCTAACACAAAATATCACGATAAATAACCCCTACATAATCCAATATAATACCTTAAGAAGCTTGGGTAATGATAATGGGTTATATACTGTTTATACATAAATATATACATTACAACATATTCACCAAGCCTTAAGACATCCGCATAGTCATTATCTATTATAATGCTGTATATCCAATAGAGGATATATGTGGGCGGGTATGTTTTTTTATGTCTTTCTATAGGCAGGAGTCTTAATATCATTAGACCCAAGGCAATGTATGAGCTCACACATACGTGACTAAGTTACATAACCAATATTTAGTATGGCATTCTTCTCAGTACAACCAGTATATTATGTACGTATTATTTTTATAATTTACAATAGAAACCATAGGCAGTATGCAAATAATTTGTTGCCTGGCAACAATCCTTATAAAATTACAAGATTGCAAATCTAGAGATGAAATTCTTTTTATTAAAATGACCTTTTTATTATATCTGAAGTGAGAAGAACGAACACAATAATTGAAGATTTGACAAGTTTGGGAAAGGGCAAAGAATGAATGAAATGAAATGGGGTTTAAAGTCCCCAATACCAGGAGCGAATCCCTGCAACTCCAGACTAGTGAGCCAGCATCTTACCCACCGTGGCTCCCCAATCTGCAATTGACCTTTTTTTATTATATTTGAAACGAGAAGACGGAATACGTTAATTGAAGATTTGATGAGTTTGGAAAAGGGTAAAGCATGTCATTTGGAGCAGTATTGTAAAGTCTTTTATACTTGACCATTTTATATGTTAAGTGATGAAGTTAATGATATTTTTAAATGTCACACCTTTAATAGTGGATTAAGATCAATTCTCAATTGCCTCTCAATATCGCACGCCTGTAGGATGTTTTAATTAAAAGAAAGCTGATAGTCAACATATTGATAGCTTATTGCAGTTTGTAGTTAGGAATTTAAACAATATTTCACTGATCTATCCCAATCACAGTTATTGTTTTAAAGTAATTTGTTGGAGAAAGATCTTCTTATGCTGAGGATTATCCAGTGCAGAACAATAATGAAAATACAATAACCTCTCCAACATCATGTAGTTTAGGTTAACCCTTCCATCTGTACTGAGAGATATATTATATTATATATAATCCAGAAATTACTGGAGTTGAATCCCAGTTGCTTTCAATTTGGTAAGATATAAAAAATCAATAGCAATTTTAGGGCATCGGGAATGTAAACGCCTGTGGAGTGGTTTTGTATCACATACAGATGCTATCAATGCTATGTTCTAACAGAGAGAGAGAGAGAAAGAGAGAGAGGGAGAGGGAGAGAGAGAGAGAGAGAGAGAGAGGGTTTAACTTCCACTCGACACAAATAGGTAATTTCCAGACTAACACATGGTTCAATTTTATTTCCATAATTCGCTTGCGCGTAGGGGTCTTTAGCAGTGGGAGGAAACCGGAGGACCCGGAGTAAACCCACGAGGTTGGACAGGTGACCCTACTCCTTGTCATGTACAACCAGGGAATCGAAACCATGCCAGTTGACTCAATGACAGACCTTATGATACAGCACGCACGTGCTAAGCATTCGGCCATCCAACCCGCCATCATTACAAGGGATGTCGTGCCCAACTCAAGACACCAACACCACTTAACTACACTATTAACTGCACGATAGCAATACAATAACACTATATATGTTCAGCTATATAGTAAAACAATAACACTATTTATGTTCAGCCATAATAAATCAATGACTTGCAGATGTAAAGGAACTGCGGACAATACAGAAAGTTGTTGTAGCTGAGAAAAAAATTCATTCTCTTAAAATGTCAAGAATATCTGTTACTGTAATTGACAGCATTGTATGAATGTCAGGTACCAAGGTACTTTGCTTTAGGATATGTTGTCGTTTGAAAAGAAAGTTTG